TGATAAGATCCATCTGCGGGTCCTGAAGGAGCTCGCAAATGAAGTTGCAAAGCCACTGGCCATCATATTTGAAAAATCATGGCAGTCAGATGAAGTTCTCGACGACTGGAAAAAGGGAAATATAACCCCCATTTCCAAGAAGGGGAAAATGGATGACCCGGGAGATTACAGACCAGTCAGTGTCACCTCGGTGCCTGGCAAAATCTTGGAGCAGATTCTCCTGGAAGACATGCTGAGGCACATGGAAATCAACAAGGTGCTTGGTGACAGCCAGCATGGCTTCACTAAGGGCAAATCCTGCCCTGACCAATTTGGTGGCCTTCTATGATGGGGCTACGGAACTGATGGACAGGGGTAGAGCAGTTGATGCCATCTACCTGGACTTGTGCAAAGCGTTCGACACTGTCCCACACGATATCCTTGTCTCTAAATTGGAGAGCCATCAATTTGATGGATGGACCACTCAGTGGATAAAGAACTGGCTGGATGGCCGCACACAAAGAGTTGTGGTCAATGGCTCAGTGTCCGGCTGGAGACCAGTAATGAGTGGTGTCCCTCAGGGATCGGAGTTGGGACCGGTCTTGTTCAACATCTTCGTCGCTGGCATGGACAGTGGGATTGAGTGCGCCCTCAGCAAGTTTGCCGATGACACCAACCTGTGTGGTTCGGTTGATACCCTGGAGTGAAGGAATGCCATCCAGAGGGACCTTGACACGCTTGTGACGTGGGCTGATGCCAACCTCGTGAAGTGTAACCATGACAAGTGCAGGGTCCTACACCTGGGTGGGAGCAATCCCAGGCACAGCTACAGGTTGGGCAGAGAAAAGATTCAGAGCAGCCCTGTGGAGAAGGACTCGGGGGTGTTGGTCGATGAGACAACGAACATGGGCCGGCTTCAGTGTGCGCTTGCAGCCCAGAAAGCCAACCACATCCTGGGCTGCATTAAAAGGAGGGTGACCAGCAGGTCGAAGGAGGTGATCCTGCCCCTCTGCTCTTGTGAGACCTCACTTAGAGTACTGTGTGCAGTTCTGGTGTCCTCAACATAAAAAGGACATGGAACTGTTGGAACAAGTCCAGAGAAGGGCCACAAGGATGATCAGGGGACTGGAGCACCTCCCGTATGAAGACAGGCTGAGGAAGTTGGGGCTGTTCAGCCTGGAGAAGAGAAGGCTGCGTGGATACCTCATAGGAGAGGGACTCTTCATTAGAAACTGTAGTGATAGGACAAGTGGTAATGGGTTCAAACTTAAACAGGGGAAGTTTAGATTGGATATAAGGAAGAAATTCTTTCCTGTTAGGGTGGTGAGGCACTGGAACAGGTTGCCCAGGGAGGTTGTGAATGCTCCATCCCTGGCAGTGTTCAAGGCCAGGTTGGACGAGGCCTTGGGTGATATGATTTAGCGTAAGGTGTCCTTGCCCACGGCAGGGGGGCTGTAAGTAGATGATCTTAAGGTCCTTTCCAACCCTAATTATTCTATGATTCTATGATTATGCTGTGCTGGATGTGGTTTGTAGTTACTCCATTCAAAAAAACACTTGCCTGCCATACTTCAGTATACAGATTAATACCTGATTTTACCATGAAATCTTTCAGTTTACTCTCACTGTATGCGCATTTTGAAAAGTTGTTATATCGTTTCCACCATTGGAAAACCACATTCCTCTGAATAAAAAAAAATCTTAATACCATCATTGCAAGCCAGAGTTTAAGTCCCTCTCTGAATAGTCTCTCATCTACTTCAGAAGTAACCTTTTTGGTAACTGTTGGGCTGCTCTGTTCCAGCAAAATTCAGGTATTATTGACCGGTCATCCTAACGGCACAGAGGCATAATGAAATTGAGACCTCGTTCCAGATTATTCTTACATGTAGCCTTTTTCCATTTTTTTCCTTAGCTCAATCTGTAATTTCTTTTTCATTCAGAACCCTCATTTTTCTGTGAGACAAAAACCTCTACTCTTTCATTGTATCAAGCTTGCTAAAATTCCTTGGTGGAGAAAAATCCATATTCTTCCATAATAGTAATATTAAAGCATGGAGTGGTTTTGTTTTCTTTTGTTTTCCCTTACAGACCATCTAGGCAGATTAAGGAATGTATTTTGACATTGTGTTACATGACTCTGTACACACATGCACACACATTTGTGCTGAAATAGTAGCCATGAAACCAGAGATACTATCTGACCAAGTAAAAGCAAATATGACACAAAAACTATGAATGGTGATACAGTGGGGGAGTTACTAATAAGCTCAGCTGTATACTAAAGTCAAAAGAAAACTGACCCTTCATAACCTTACCCATGCTAAACAGGTCATGCACATGTAAGCTTCTTCAGATTTCCAAAATAAAGTCAACAAAGTTTTTCTGAAGTTACTGTTCGTGATTGGATTGATAAGCTCACTCTGGAAACACCTGATTGAGTAGATTTACAAAATCATCAGAGAACTATGGACTCTTCCAGAAAGTATAGAAAATAGGTCCAGAGAAGCATGCTTGGCCTATGTTTATGCATGTGTCTAGTGTGTAAATTCTGTACAGAACAGGCCATTGAACCTCAGACTAATTTAGGTTCTGAAGCTGTGTACAGGAAGGCATTGCTGTTTATTTTGTGTAAAGGAGGAAGATATGAATATGTTGTTGACAGTCAATAAATACTACTTTTAGATAAATTTCTTTTGTGTGTGGCATTGCACATCAGTTGGCTGGATGACATGTATCTTTGTGAGGACTTACTCGTTTTGGAACAGAGCAGTCTTCCCAGGATTGTAAACAATGTGTACAACAGAACAGATTTAGTGCCATGTCTGCAGCCAGTCATTTGCAGAGTGTGGAGAATGTGAGAGTGCTGAAACTATTCTTGTGTGGTAAAATAAAAATAGAAACATACAGTCAGGGAGCAGTGATGAAATACTTTTAAGTATCAGCACTTGAAAAGCATCCTCAAGCAAAATTGACAGCAGTACTCAATAACCTGATAGATAATTGGCATTTAGCAGTTTGAGTGCAGTAACTGTTTGAAAACAAATATTGAAAAAGAAAACTCTTGTAAAAAGAGCGACCTTTTCCTGAGCTCAGTAGGCAGAATTTCCAATGTCTGCTCATGCAGCCTGTGTGGGAACAATCTCATTCATGCATTGGACTGTTTACTCATACACGGATGTCTACAGAGTGAGTATAAAAGGCATCATAATGACACCTGTTTGTTCCGTTCCAGTTAATTCCAGTGAAAATTGCTTCCTCTTTCTGCCTTAGAAACATTCCTACATCTGAAATCCTCAGGGAAATACTTGAAGTAATCCCTTTGCTTTTGTTAAACACTCTCAATCCCACCTAAAGATCAGGTGCTAAATAGGATGGAATTGTGGTTGTTGCAACTGCTATTTGACAAATGTCAGCTAACAGCAGTGCTGGGTTGGAGTAAAGGTTTATCTGCAGTTCTAACAATCTGTAGTTAAGTGACTTCTGTGTGAGAAGTATCATCTTGCATTTTATAGTTGTCAAAGGATTTCTCTACTTCAAGTTTGTTAAGTATCCTCTTGAGTAAGTGTTAATTTTTAGCAGCCACAGCATCTTATTTGGAGAAGGACTTCTATTTGTTTTCATTCTGCATCTGCTAGCTTTATTAGATGTCTTCTTATTCATCTACTGGAAGATACAATTAATTCCTATTCTCATTTTTCATGCCCCTCATGATGTTAGAGGCCTCTCTTCTTCCTTGTCCTTATGCCATCTCTTTTCCGAGCTGTAGAGCCCTAGCTTGCTTAAGCAGTTTCATCCTCACAGTGTAAATATATAAGCGCATGCTGTTGCTGGTTATCAAAGGTGATCCTTGTTACCCTTCCCTGATGCTTTATGAGTTTTATTAAATTCCTTGTGAGATGAGGTACTAGAAAGGTCATCAGCATTTGGTGCGCAGGCAGCAGCATGGAATTGTGATGTGGTGATTTCTGTATTTTTTCTGTTGCTTTCACATTAATTACCAAAATATTGGGTTTGACCGTTATTTAAAACAGAAAAAAAGTTTTCATGGATTTATCTAGCATAACCCCAGGATCTCACTTGTGAATGAAAGCAGTCAGCTAGGAGCTCATCCTTATATGTATATGGTTAGGATCATTTTTACAACCTGTGATTTACTTTGCATCTATTTCCTTTGAATTATTTAATGCTAAGATTCATAAGGCTTTCTTCTTTTCTTCAAATCACCCTCATTTTCTGATGTCCAGTAATTTAGTATTCTATCAACAAACTTTTTTACCACTTTTCTTTGAGATTGCCTGTTAATTGTAATGAGTACAATGAATGAAGTCCACTTCTAAGTGAAATATTATTTATCTGTCACCTATAATTACCTGATAGTGATATTCTCAAAAATATACTTAATCTCTGCTTTTTGAGAAGGACCTTGGTTCTGTGGAAATTAATGCACCAATGAGGTCTGACATTTCTTCATATATTTGGATACGGGAAAAAGCAGTGTAGCTGATATCGGTGATATCCCAAAGGGATATCCCAAGGGATGCACTAATATCACTTTTCCCTATCATGTGTAACACATGATGGTGAAGACAGGAGATGGCATCTCCTTAGTATCTCTCCCATGAAAAGACTTCGGGTGCATCCATTTGTGCACCAAGAAGGAGATTTACGCTGATCTAATGTGTTTAAAAAATAAGGCATAATGTAAGGTTGTTGCCATTTCATTGTGCATTAACCACATATTCAGAAAAGTCATGGACGGAGTTTTCCACATACTGTGTTATGTTGTTATAATAGTATTGAATTTTCAAATGTTTCAAATACAGATTACAATAGTTACATAGATAAGCATACTAACACCTATTAAAGTCTTAGAAATACTGTATAACTTCTGAAATTTATACCTGTAATGGACAGAACTAGCATGTGTTCTAAGCTTGGAGTTTTGAATCATCATAACCTTTTTTTTTTCCTTCCCCCCCCCCTTTCTTCCCCCCTTTTTTTTTCTTTTTTTCTTTTAGGTATAGACAAATGCAGCTTGGCACAGAAAGCAAAGTAGCTGAACTTCTTCACCAAAGTAAGTTAAAATCCTTTGAAACTGAACATGTACAACTCATGCAACAAGAAACAGCTAAGAATCTTTCACAGTGCCAAATGGAATGTGAAAAATACCAGAGAAAACTGGAGGTATGTTATATAAAGAGATACTTTAAGGACCATCACGTAGTTGTTTTCAATTAGAGTGTAAAATGGAAAAGCGTGGGGAAAAAATGGCAAAGAACGTACATGGCTGAAGGAGTATCCCCACCAAATTCTGCTGAAGCAGAATCTAATAATGAAGCTTAAGTTTGACCAGTTCAATGGAAAACAAGACTTAGGGGAGAGGAAGAAAGCAAAACAATTTCTCATGGAGAGATGTTGAAGGCAGCACCTCATTCACATGAGATACATATATGCTTGTATCATAAAGCTGCTTATATCAGTCTTTGTGATTATTGTAGGGAAAGAATACGGTGAATTCAGTGTCATTACTAAAAGCTAGAATTTGCAATAGCATTATTGTATAATAAAATTTTTTTTTTTATTGATATACAATTCTGGAACAGATCTTTACTAGCTAAAAAAGTCAAGGAGATCATGGTGTGTAAGCGTTGAAAACACCTAACATTGCTAATCTTATCGTGGTGGGTTGACCTTTGTCAGCTGCCAGCAAGCCACCCAGCCATGCTCTCATTCCACCTCCTCAAGAGGATGGGGTGTAAATAAGCTGAAAAAGCTTGTCGGTTGATATAAAGATACAGAGATCACTTAGCTATTCCCATCATGAGCAAAACAGACTTGACCTGGGGAAAATTAACTTCACTTATTACCAATTGAAATAGATTTGGATGGGGAGAAACAAAGAGAAAAACTAAAACACCTTTCCCCACCCCTTTCTCTTCTCAGTTTAATTTCCCTCCTTCATTTTTGACTCTTCAGCCTTTCCCTCCCCAAACAACACAGGAAGGGATGGGGACTGAGGATTGGGTCTATCTGTAACAGCTTCTCTCTGCCACTTCTTCCTCCTCACACTTGTATCCTGCTCCAGTGTGTTAATCATCTGAGGGCGTCAGCTTCATTCAGGAGAAAATCTGCTCCTACTTGGGCTTTCCAGAGGTTGAAGTTCCTCCAGGGCAGGTGCCACTGCTTTGGCATGGGATCCTCCATGGGCTGTAGAGTTGAATGACTTGGACCCTTCTATCTCTATAAGCTTAGAATTTATTATCTTTCAAACATGTACTTTCAAAAATGTGTCATATCCTGTTCACCTGTTTTAGTATTGGAAGGGTGTCCAGTATTTAGCAGAGCAAACTTACTTTAAAACCAAATACTTCACCTGTGCAAAGTTAGTCTCAGAATTTTTGAGATTTAAATGAGATTGGCAGTATGCATGTCTTAAACAAATGTCAGGATGCAAACTGGACAGGATGGAATAAAAACCTTTTTTTCAAAGTGCCAGCTACGGCAGCCTTTGTTTTTTGTGAAAGGATGCTGTTCTTCAAGTCCCTGCATTTCTAGTTCTGAACCTGCCTAGGGTGTTTATGAAAAGGAATTAAAGTGAAAATAGAATAGAGAGTTCCAGATAAAATGTAATTTCTTGTTTTATCTGTATTGGGACATTCAGATCCTGCCTGATGAGGTTAGTTGTCATGAGTGCTGGGAGTGCCAGTTTTGCTAGACTTTGATGTTGCTAAACAGAATTTTAATTGCACAGACATGTCTAAACTTTGATAAGATAGTTTAATCTGAGTTATATTTCCACTTTCTTTGTGGATATTCATTTGATCTTGTAGCATCTTGTATATTTGGCATTCAGTTCTACTAACACTTCTTGCACTTCTTTTCTCTAAAGGGACACTTTGAAACCAGTGCTCTTTCATTAAGAAATGTTCTTGCAGAATTTAAGTATTTGATGTCTGAAGCTTTTACTTTTATTCCTTTTGACTGAACTCTTAATTTTTGATTTTCCTTTCTTATATATCATTGATATATATATATATATATCAATGCACTAAGAAGATTTTTCTTACTCTTCTAATAGGATATTGATCTTAATAGTGTAGTTACTAGTAACTTGTGGCTCAGCTACAGTGGCTTTGTGAAGCAACTCTTGGTTTTATTTTGATTTCAGGATAGTTTCTCTTCGTATGCATGGTAAAATTAGGAAACAGGTAATTTATATGTTGACAAATTTTAACCTATACATTTTCGTCTATGACACTACACTAATCTTTTCATATTTGAGTGGCTTGATTCTCTAAGCATTCTGCATTCTTTGGTATTTTTGACAGAGATTCTGGTATTACTGCTGTATACACTATGCATATATTTCTGATCTCGAGATCTATATTCAGCTGTCATCTTGAATGTTTGGGATTTACATTTGGGAAGTTAGTATCAGACCTAGCTACAGTACTGCTTGGTTATTACCAGAACTTTACCTGTTCTGGTGGGAATTTTTCTACAAAGCATATAGATTACTTACTTACCAAGAATTTCCTTATTCCAGTTGGATTTCTCATATTTTTGTTGTCAATGCTGTTTGCTATTTTCAAGCACTATATCAAGCTTTAGTTCTTATAAAGACCTTTAGAACTTCTGTTTCTGAATATGTGCTTTTTCTTTTAAGCTCAGTGGATTGCTATTTACATTAGTCCTGTATCTTAATAGCATTAGTCCTAAATCTTAATAGCAATAAGGCATATTACCTTTCAGTACTGAGTAATATTATTGAATCGTAAGTAAAGAAAGAATTTTAAGTAAATAATTAGAATCTTGTATGTCTTAAATACCAAATTTTTATATTCATGTATTTACCTTCTGTAAAGGACTCTTCATTTTTTAAATAGATAACTGATATGTGAATCTAGTTAAAACAATAAGAATAAATGCATTTACACTCTTTGACTGCTGTTACAGTGCTTTTCCTAATTCTCCTTTAAAATTCTTGTAGCTTCTTCAAGAGAGAGATTATTAGAATTACTGAGGCCTTAGGAGATAGGCATAAGTGATATGACCTGAGAGTGTACTCTGTGCAAGATAATATAGTTAAAAAAATAACTGCTTTTTAAAGTATTTAAATCTTTCCTGTGCAAAAGTTTCATCAAAGATTTAGTATCATACTGCTAAGCATTTTACATGTATTACATTTTGCCTCTTCATAAATAGCTGTAATACTGACTCCCTGATCTCTCCATTATTCATTCTCACAGGTGCTTACTAAAGAATATTATAGTCTTCAGTCTTCTAGTGAAACACGCATTACTGAGCTTCAGACACAGAATTCTGAGTTGCAAGCAAGGCTCAATACTTACGAAAAACTTGAAAAAGAGCTTGATGAGATAATACTGCAGACAGCAGAAAGTAAGTTCTATCACAAATTATGTTGTGTCTGTAGGTGTTTCTGGCATTATGACAAGATGTCTTGTTTCTCATGGCATTTGGAAAGTATTGCAGTGCCTGTCATTCTCCCTCCTTATGCCTGAAAATTAAGATGCAGTGACTATTTTGACAGAAAATATTAATGATGGGTTTCTAAATGGATTTGTAAATATATATTAAATGAACTTGAATGAAGACATATAGATATTAAAAATCATCTTTGTCTTTCTTTTTTCCTCATCTCTCATTTCCTTATTCAAATGATCTGTTATAATTAGATACGTTTTTTAGGATTTCCCTATTATTTAAGTATATTTCAAGTATCAGGAAACTCTCATTGTTGACAGACAATTGCATGCTTCATAATACAGTGCAGTGGTTAATATGAATTTTTTAATGAATTGGGGAGAAATAAAAGCTCTTGCTGGTGTTGAATTAATAGCAATTAGACATTGAGTAGTTGCTTTTGTCAGATGGATTAAACCCTGGATTAAATTCAGTCCTGATTACTCTTGAAAATTTTTTTTTCTCTGCTTGGCAAATTTCTGTGAAGTCTCTATTCATTTGATTCTCAGCCTAAATAAATCCACAAAGCAAATAATTTCTGATTTGAAACTAAGACTCTAATCTTGAAGTCTTTTAACCTGAGTGTAAACAGGGTAGGGCATTTTAAGATTTCAAACTAATTCATGTAATTTCTTGTCCCTTTTTTTTCTTTGCTTCTCAAAAAAATTAATAACAATTTATAAATAATGTTTTCCAGGTAGAAGATAATTGCATAAGCTCTGTATATAAAAAGTAGTGTAGAGCAAATTATGTATTACTGGGATGCAGTGAAGTCTGGGTATCATTAGTAATTAGACTGCACATACTTTATTAATTTTGTGCACTGCAGCTTGGACTTGTTAGAATAGCATAACTACCCAAAGATCTCAGTCTGACCATAAGCATGTTTGCTATATACAAGCTTATGTTATAGTTGGTAACGTTTTTTGAAGTGTGTCTACATAAATTTGCCTAAAGAGTATTTATGTATTAATACAGAATTTTGTGGACCTTACCTTAATTTTTTCCAAGGAGGAGGTAGAGTTCAGAATACAGAGGTTTTATTTATACTGATTTGCATTTTCTTATGTGTAGTAGGATATCAGTTTGTTACAGAACTAAATTGTTCTTAACAATTAAGTATGTATTTTAATTACAATTTATATTCTAAGCTACAGAATATGACTTAAATTAAAAGTTTCCAAATGTACTATTCTGTTAAAATATTACTTCGTTTTCTGATTTTGTTGGAGTGAAAAGGAAGTTGAACTATATAATATTATTTTTTTCTGCTAAGTAGTGTAAAAAACTGTTATTAAAAAGTGTCCCCTAACTTGTAAAATGTGTATTTTACACCACAAAGTCAGGCGAAGAGCTTGAAAAGACATGAGAGAGGCACATACTGAAACAGAGCATTACTTTGGCTTGGTATCTTCAACAGTTACAAATTTGTGTTTGTCTTCATGATCTGACGTTTACATGGACACTACTGACAGATATGAATTTATAGGGCAGAATCTTACTGACATTTTTGAGGCACACAACACTGAATTTGTAACCAAAAGTAAGGATTATGACAAAGGCAGGTTAAATTATTTTTTATGTTTTTCTGAACCAGAGGTGTTTAAGGCACTGGAGAATTCCCCATTATAACTAAGCCTTGAAAATCTGAAGTTCTGGTGCCTTTGTACTGCCACATCGGTGAACTTTTTTCTGTCATACTTACCAGAACTGTTTTTTGTGTAACTACATATGTGACTTATCACAAGTGCTCTACTAGAGACTTTGTTCTTTCTAAATGTTTTTTTAAGGATCCTTGTTTAAAATAGCATTAAAAGGGTATCAGACAAGTGAGGAAGCTAGAGTGTTGTGCAAGTTGTTGAGAGAAGGGATTTCTGATTTTGAGGCACTTGAGCATTAGGAAGGCTGAGTCAGATAGGACTATCACGTCAATTCCTCAATTTGTTTCTCATGTTCCCAGCTACTTGATTCATCAAAGCTGTTGTGTGGTGCCTGGGCTGGTGCTCCCTTGTGCTCCTTCCTTCACACCCTTGCCGCTGCCCCCTTATTATTATTCTCCTTTTCCCCTTTCTCTCTGTCCCTCTCTCTCTGCCCCTGCCTACCTAACATGCACACTTCATTTTTCTGTTGTTTTTTTCTCCCCTCTTGCCCGCTTTATCTTACAGGAGACAGGAAACCTGAATTACATGAGCTGAAATACTAAAATCTGTGCATGTTTGAGTCTTGCTGCTACTGGGATTTCTTTTCAAAGCAGTCCCAATGTGTTTTGAATCCTTAGAAATATGTTTTCAGAAATCAGTCATTTATTGAGAGAGAGATAAATTTGAATGTTTTTACTTTGCACAAGCATAAGATTCTCATTGCCTTTCTCTGAAGATGGATATGGCGTTTGTTTCCTTCAGGTTATCAGAAATTTCTGATCACCACAGTCTTTCATAAATTATAGTCAGCAGCCTCATAATGCCATCAGCTCCCTCAGCAACCTCAGATGTGTATGTGACCCTTCTGGTCCCATGGACTTGTTTATATCCAGTTGGCTTAAGCACTCGCTAATTTTATCTTCTACTTCCACGTGTATGCACAGAAAATGGATTCTTTAGGAGAAAAAGTCCTGAGCAACCTAACCCTGTACTGCTGAATGAAACCTATACTATTAGCATGTATTTTGTGACTATACCAATAGAATGAATATTCAAGGACACTGAACTTTTGTCTTTTACTTTCATATTGCATAAGTCTTATATTAATCAGAAAACAAAAAAAAAGTGAAAAGCCTGCCACTGTTGTAAGAAATTAATTTATGGCACTGTGTTGATGCTAACTGTGAACAAAATTGTTCCACTCAAGTCCAGGTTACAACAACTGAAAATCTAGCTTCTAGAAAAATGTCTGTCTGTGTGTGTAATTATGAATAGAATTGCTTCTAAGTTTATAAGTTCTTGCACTGTAATTATGTTCTTAAATTGTACCTTTCTGCAAATTTTTTTACAGTGGAAGATAAAGTTGAAGCTGAAAGGGTTCTCTTCTCATATGGGTATGGCGCTAATGTTCCTACAACTGCCAAAAGACGACTAAAGCAAAGGTAAAAAGTGCCTCCTGAATTTACTTCTTCAAGATAAAGTAAATTAAAATAGATGCATTATGTTTTGTCTTAGAATCCAGCCAGTTTAATTAACATAAAGAGGGTTTTTAGTTACTTAAGTTTACAGGAATAGAATGAAGACTAGGACCTGTTAATGTGGCATATGCATATGAATGATCATATACATACTTTTCTAGGTCATCTAAAGATTTTTTTTCATTGCCTTTTCAGAAGGATGAATTTTAGTTGTATAAAACTAAACAGCTGTAAAAATAGACTTGTTACATTGTTCACATTTATATAATAATATATCAAATAAGGTTTTAATATCCTAAAACTGATTGTATGTAGTTGTAACAAAACCACATCTGTCAGTATATTAGGAAGGCCAAGGTTTCACAGCATCGCTATTTCATCTTTACAAATACAGGATCTGATTCCAGTTATATTTATTCAGTTTACCTATACCATTTGATCAATAGATGAAAACGATGTGTAGGCTGAGTAACAGACCGCTTGATCGTAGTAATTTTAAAATAAGATTCTTTAAGAAAGAATAGTGACATTTGAATGGATCACTGGGAACACTGGGAATGTGGATTTATGTATAGTATTTTTAAAGTGTGACCACAACAAAATTTCTGTTGTTGTTAAAAGTATGTATAGATAGTATAAAAGGAAAACATAACCTAAGATGCATGAAAGTCAACTGCATAATTTGTGGTAATGGTAGGCTTTGGCCACGCTGTCTTCTACCAAAATGAGAAACTCCGCCATCATTGGCAGACACACAAAGAAGAGTATAAAGACAGGGTGAATATGTGCCATAGCTTCACAGTGCACATCCCTAGCATTCAGGAGCTGGAAATGCAGTTTCTCTTATGTGTAGCCGTTTTTAACATCAAGTATTAGTTTGTTAAGTTGGTTTTGTCCTCTTAACCACCACCTTCTCCATGACAAAGAAAATTTAACGTGAAAAGAAGGCTCCAAGGAGACCTTGTAGCAGCCTTCCAGTACCCAAAGGGGGCCTACAGGTTTGCTGGAGAAGGAATTTTTATAAGAGCAAGTAGTGATGCTGCAAGGGGGAAGGGTTTTAAACTGTAAGAGGGAAGATTTTGTTTGTATATTGGGAAGAAATTCTTTACTGTGAGGGTGGTGAGGCACTGGCACAGGTTGCCCAGAGAAACTGTGGATGTCCCATTCCTGTCACTGTTCAAGGCCAGGTTAGATGGCGCTTTGAACAATGTGGTCTAGTGGAAGGTGTCCCCGGCCATGTCAGGGGGGTTGGAACCCAATGATCTTTAAGGTCTCTTCCAACTCTAGCTATTCTAAGTTACTGATGAGAATTAAGGGTAGATGATGGTATGTTCATGTTTGCAACAAAGATTTATAGGCCACATATCTTTCTTCTGTCATTTATATTTGTTTTTCAAGTGCTGTCAATATGATTGTCAATCAGATTAGACCTGTTGTGCACTGAGTTACATACTGCTGACAAAAATCGTAAAGATTCTATGTAGTTTTTAATTTTGGCATGGCTTAATTTTTTTCATACCCTTAAGCCTCTTCAGATTATTTCTGTGTAAGATTTCTTTTCATATTGCTTAAAATTGAAGAAAACAGAAAGTGGGGGGGGCAGAACAGCAAAAATCCCTCAATGAGCTTGTTACATGTCTCTTTTAGGAGACTGTTGAGAGTTCTATAGCATTATTTCCTAGAACTTCAGTTCCTTCCTTCTCTGTCAGTAGTTTGGGAACTTTTCTGAGTTTCAGTTAGAACCCCACCTTATTAGATTCAATATGAATCATTTGCATACACAATAAATCTTCTTTTGAAGTCCAGTACTTCCTCTTTAATTCCAGACATATGGGATCCTAAATGAAGAGTTCTTGTAAGTTCACAGAATGCACTTCAGTCTCTGGAACTCTGTATAAAACCACCTATTCAAGCATAGTACACTGGGGGGTCTATACCTCTGCATAGAGGTATACTTCTGCATACTGGCCAGAAACAACTATTTAATTACTTAGGATGTAGGTACCATACACCCATAGTAGTATGCCTGGGACCATTCTGAAGTATCAAGACCAAATGGCCTACTTCCATAAAACTAAATTCTCAGTGTAGGTTAGCTGCATGTGAACTATGTTTTGGCAGTGATTTACTTGCCCACGCTAACTCTTCAGCTATGCTCAGGAACTGTTTGCAAGAGTGTTAATGAGTAAATGCCAGAGTGCTACCAGGGATGCTCTAGTGTTTTGCTAACAATAAATTATCACATTATTGAGCATTGCATAATTTTCTAGTATAGTCAGACTCAGATTTTTCCAGGATAAGATGTCTTTGTCCCTTTGCTTGTAATTTAAACTAGTCAAAAAACATTGACAAGCATACTTGAAAGATGTACTTGTGTTTTTCCTTAAATACCTGCAAATTCAGGTTAAGTTCACTGAACAGTTGTAGCTGGGAAAATTATAATGGGCTACATTCCCAACGTTGCTATGAGAAGGTATCAGAGTTTCCCCTCACACTCTAATAGCTAATGTATAGGATCCCTAACTCATTAGAGAGGTGTTTAATTTCTCGTTTTCACTAGATGGACTCTTAATACACATCTTGTATCTCCTAAATAAAAATCAAAATAATTAGTTTCGAGAATTAGTTTCTTTTTCTCAGTTATTTTTTACATAGTCTAACGCTCCTTGTAGGAGGAACTGAGAAACCAGCCTCATAGTGAATGCTATCGAGAATTCAAGGATTGCTTTCATATAAGGTGAAAGTAAAATATTGTACGGAAGGGTAGGTTTATAACAGAGGTGAATATTAAGACTTCTGCCCAGTCTGAAAGTGTATTCCTTTTACGGAGGAGAAGGTGGAGGTTATGACTGGTCAGATTTTAAAAGAAAGTTTGTACACTCATCTAGCTTTACACACTAAACCTCACCTTAAGGATAAATAGAATCTCTCTGTTGGTCTCCTTTAGACTGCTTACACTTTTATAGATACAGTATCGTGGTCAAGAACTGGTTAACACTTTCATAGCCATTATTTGGTCACCAACAGTCTTAACATTTTCAGTTTATGGATGGTATACATTGAAAGTCTAAGATCTGCATTGGAATGACTTCTTCCTTTCTTCAGTGTACAGTGTTCCTGAAAAATGGCACACATTTGAATGGAAGGATAGATTGTTGTAGAGAGCCATTAGTTCAGTGGTTAAGACATGCTAAATGGTGGTATTAGCCCTGTGTATCTTCGTCATTTCTCTGAATTTCCCATGTTATGTTGTGAAATATATTGGTGACTAAAGTACGTAACACAGACGGTTACATGGATAAATTCTCTAGAAACAATTTTGATAATAAGCCACCAAGCTGCTGAATCCTACAAAGATGCAGGATTCATGACAGAATACATAAATTTAGACATCTAATCATAGGTTTAACATGGAGATTGGGCACCTAACCTCCCACTATAACTGGTTTAATTCTAATCAATATATTCAGTGGAGTTTGGAGCCCACTCTACTTCCCCATCTAGGAGTCCATTTCACTGGAATATAGTCAGGCTCTACAGACCATATTGACTCAGTGATAAGTAACAGCCTGAAAGACTAGGTTAGATATCTGGAATTGCATGCTGAGCCTTCCCATGTTCCCTATGGAACTATGCTGTGGAATTGATGATAAACACTTGAGAATTTGGGCATGAAACATGAAAAAGGTTGAGCATCTAATTTTTTAACTAAGGAGTTTAAGTAACTCAACAGTCCTTTCTCTTGACTTGTAAATTAATTTGTGGATCTCTCTGAGAGATTATTTTCATAAAGTGACAATAACAATTATTACCATAATAAATGTCAGACAAAACAATTTTGCGTCTGTTTTGAAAATGATAAAATACTGCATTTTGCAGTGTTCCACTACAAAATATCCATAATATATAAAATTTATATTAATGTGCATTTTGTTTAATTATTTAAGGAGAAGCCAATTACAGTGATTCCCTGATGTTGCTAAAAAACAAACAAACAAAAAAAAAAACAAAAAAATTTTGACAGAATTTCTGCAATTGCTATATAGCAAAAATTATATAGGCAATTACTTTGTAAAAAATATTACAATGGCATAACTGTGGGAATGTTGTTTCAGTGTTGTTAAAATTTGTAGTATTTTCATTGTTTTTCTAACTTTGACCATTCTGCATGTTTCACTGTGTAGTTTATATATTAGTATTTAAGCACTGGTGAAAAAATTAAGGCAATCAAGTATAAATGTGAGAATTTCTTTTGCATATTTTGGAAAAAAATCAACTTGAGTTTGCTTTTTATTGGCACAGCGTGCACTTGGCAAGGAGGTTACTGCAGCTAGAAAAGCAAAACTCGTTGCTTGTAAAAGATCTGGAACATCAGAAGGAACAAGTAACACAGATTTCACAAGAGGTAAATTACTGCTACAAAAAAAAGATCAAATCTGTAGAGACTATAAACATTGTGGAACAGCTGTTCATAAAATGAAATATTTTCTGAACAGTGTTTATTGTCTATTTGATGTCAAAAACTGGCGTCATAATTAACCAAAACTCTATGCTAAACGTTTTCAAAGTAATTTATATTGTATTTTGAAATGAAGATTGAAAGAGGGATTATTTTACCGGCTAAACAAGAATGTAAGCCAGACAAACAGCGTTCTGATTTCTGAACTGAATACCAGCTAGCCAAACTAGTTCGTTCTGTTTGATAGTTAATTGTTCAATGAATGCCTCATTTTACACAGCTCTTCTCCTAAATCACTTTTGAAGGTACTTCTGTAAATCCTTTTCTATGTTGTGCAGTTCTTGAATCTTTTGAATATACAAATCTAGGGAATATTTAACATGAGCTGCTTTTTTAAAAAGCTCATATTATTTTTTTTTCCTTGTTACAATGAGTTTAATTTCATTATCTTTTAAATTCTGTGTATAATACCTGAAATCACATATTGCATTGACACGGAAAACAAATGCTAAACAAAACTCAGCATGAAATCTTCCAGAATTAGGGTGAACTAGTTTTTTTTAAATATTTTTAAATTTTCTTCTATGTTTCTCTTAAGAACCAATGAGCTTTTAGATTTGCTATTAGAATTTCTATTTGCTATGGAATTTCTAGGCTATTTCAGGAATGCAGTTAACAGTTTGATTTTTAAAGCCATGGTAATTATAGATTAGGATAACTACATCCAGTAGTTCACAGTGCAAATAATGTCAGTTTCCACATACATAAAATCAATTAAATTTAAATATTTTATATGTGCATATATATATGATTATATATAATATTTCAGTGAAAGGTATGTGAACAAGTGAAATTTTTAAATGTTTTGGGTTTTGTCAGCCAATTTATTATGATTCGTAGGTATATCCTAGTAATTTATATATGACTAAAACATATCTTTCAAATCTTCTTGACTTGAAGACATCAGAGATTTAGGAATCCAATGTTATCCTTGGTATTCTTCTCTATCACTATTATTTCACTATTGTTAATAAAATCTTAAATCTACTTAAATCTACTGGTTTCCACTTTAATACGTTTCTTCTTGCCCTCAGTTATTTTATATTTGCTTCTAGGTCACTACCAGCGACTACTTCTAGTCACTACTTCCAGTCAGTACCAGTGACCTTAGTTCAATTTCCTGCAAAATTCCACTAGAACATCTTCACCTCATTTTTTATTTTCCTGTGAGATGTCAAGTAGCCCTTTCTTGATCTTGTATCATATAACTGTATAGCTGAAATCAGAATGTCATCCCGTGTAAAGTTAAATGTCTTGCACATAGCTAATGCACAGCTACTAAGTCTATTAGCATCAAAATCCTAAGGTTAAGTAAAACTTTTTTAAGACCTGCTTTCTATTAAACTCATATCTGGCATCCAGGTCTGAATGCTTCATAAGATTTCTTTCTTCCTTTTTTTTAGTTTTCTATGTGATTATAGGCCATTTAATTTTATAACAATTACTTAAGCTATTCTGCTCGCCATCCTTTAATAGGTCCACAAAGAGTTTACACTTGTTATTAACGGACTGGAATATAGTTCATAATTCTTACATTATACAAGCCCATCATCTGACTTTTTCAAACAGAGCGAAAAACTTCCATGTTGTCTTCAGCATTATATACAGTTTTAGCATATCTCTTCATAATGGGCTGTACTGTTTCTAGGATTTATTTGCTCCCATTTTTTTCCTTCTAAGAGCTTTATGCCTGCAAGTATCAATTTTTTCCTTGAAGCTGTAGCTCCTCTTGTAAATTTTCTGTATTTCATATTTTATACTGATTGCTATCTATTATCTTTCTTTACGTAGTCAAAGTTCTTAAATTTCTCTTTGCTGACTTTACTGAATCCCCTGAGCTAAGACAGACTTTTACTCTAAGCTATCATCTGTCTTTTTTTTCTTTTTAAGAGCAAAACAGAGACCCTGTAGACTACATCTTGCTTAGGTAGCCCATTAATTTTTGACTGACAGTTTGTTCAGTCATCTGGATGAAATCTAGCACATGGATTGAGAGTTGATGCCAAAGTGATTGGACCAGCTTTTCTCTATTCTGTGAGGGTGGTGAGGCACTGGAGCAGGTTGCCTGAAGAAGTGGTAAATGCTCCATCCCTGGCAGTGTTCAAGGCCAGGTTGGAAAGAGCCTTGGGTGACATGGTCTGGTGTGAGGTGCCCCTGCCCATTCAGCAGGGTTGGAACTAGATGATCTTAAGGTCCTTTCCTACCCTAACTATGCTAAGATTCTTTTGAACTTGCATTTAATACTGCTATTTCACTGCAGTATTTATCATGCAACTTTTTTTTTAATCCTTTAAAGAAGGGAGGAAAAGAAAGAGATTGCTATAACTACAGTGGATGTTCTTTCTGAGATTCTTTTTTTGGACTGTCCACAGCCAATTGCTGTTGAGCTTTATAGAAAAAAGTCATATTGATCTTCTGGGAAAGTCCAGTATTACCATGAAGAAAATACTGACTTCTCCTTAATTTCATTCATTTGATGGAAAGTCTGATAGTGTGCCTGCTTGAAAGTTGGAACCCTGTGGAAGCTCAGCTGCTGCAAAAAAAACTTGCCAGTCCCATTACAGTTTGTCAGGCTTTATTTAACTGCAGGATCCTATCTATTTTCAGGTCATGATACAGCATTAGAAAAGAAATTTCCCTCAAAGTCCTCTTTCTGTTGGTTTGTATAGCAATGACCTGCAATTTTAAAATTACAAAAGGTTCGTTGACCATGTCTAGGGTAAAATAAATTCTCATTACCTGATCCAAGATCCTCATCTACTGATAATCAGATTATTGCCTCTGCAGTTCACTTAATGTTACTCCGAGTTTAAGTAAGTAGAAGACCATATGTCAGGTTCTGCAAAGTAGTGACCTGCAATTAGTACATTTAGTGTCCAATCTTAAGTTTTGGAATGAATTCACTTTGCACAGTTTCACTTTAGCACAGTGCCAGAACTGATGGATAGACACTCTCTTGTGCCTAGAAGGCTAATATGTTCTTTGGCTGACTTAAAAAGCAAATATTGAGTCAGTATGCAGTAAAAGCAATATCCTAAATAAAGAAATTTACTAAGCTGATATATTTGGCTTGCTGTTGAATTACTTTTTTGAGCCTTCATCAAGACATTGTATTTATGCGTTTTGTATGCCTCAGTTGAAACTTTTACCAAAATCACTTTATATCTCACTGTGAATGAGAGCGTATAGATCAAGCTGAACAATGATGAAATCTTTCAGCTTGATAGAGTTGTCCCGTCAGGGAATGTTCGATGCCTGTCAGTGTTCAAGGCCAGGTAGGACAGAGCCTTCGGTGACATGGTTTAGTGTGAGATGTCCCTGCCCACGGCAGGGGGTTGGAACTAGATGATCTTAAGGTCCTTTCCAACCCTAATTATTGTATGATTCTATGTCCAGTTGCAAGGTATTAGATTTATCACTTAAAAGAATGACACAGAAGTACTTAAGGAAATCTTGTACATTAAGGCAGAAAGAAATCAAAGTTGCTTTCAAAACAATAGTGCTTTTGTTCAAGGATAATGTTCAGTTTATATGTGTGTATAAGCAAAATTGATCCATTAAATTCATTTAACACTTAATTGATTACAATTTCGTGACAGCCTCTTTTAAGTTTATAAAGTCAAACAGGCAGCAAAGCACGACCATGGAGAGAGAAGGGATAGCCTTTTTACCTTACAGCAGCATGGTTTTTAGCTGGTGAAGTTAGAAGTTAACAGATGATTTAGTAGCATCAAACCAAGCTTACACTACCTCACTTTCCCACTGAAGTATTTATCAGTCAGAACAATGAGGAACTTTGAAAGTTTTTATGCTATCAAGAACAGGATTCCAAACAAGATGAGTTGGATTAATTTTCTCCTATAATGACAGCCTCAAGGTTTGATTCTGCAATTTTTAGACCATCCTAGAGATTAGTACTCCATGTCTTGGAATTACCTTTTTTTCATGTAAAGATTCTCTATTGTCTTCCTTCCTATCTTTTTTGATAGTTTGTACTCTTAGAAAAACAATAACTTTTTCATTACTTGTCAATAAAGAAATTTATGTTCTTGAAGAAGGTGATTGCCTCTTTTTTATTTACTTCTCTACAATAAACCTGGAATTTCACTGTGCACTAGAATAGGTATTTCCTGAAGGAAATAATGTATTTAAATAATACCTACAGTTCTGCATTAATTTGAAGAAGTGCAATGTTACTGTCTCTTATTTCACTTTTTAAAACATGAGGTGGAGTTAATTTCCCTTTTAGTAAGGCCAGTAAAGTAAGCAAGCAAAGTTTTGTCTATATTTTGTTTTTTAATAAATGTGAACCATTACTGTGTGTTTGTTGCATATTTGATGAGTATACAAGGCAGAGGTAAAACTGCACTAAAAAGATAATGTAGTCAGAGAAAGAAGGAAACACAGTCTTATGTTTTGAGAATTGTGAATAGGAGAAAAATCTGATTTTAGGAAAAGTCCTAAAATATTAAATGGGCTAGTTCTGTTGGAGGGGTGGGTTTTTTCCCCTGCTTGTTTGCAACAAAACAAAATAGGACAGCTGATTCCTAAGTCTGATTGGGCAAATGCAAATCATTTAATATATTGAGAAATTTTATAAACTAATTGGAAAACTTAACCATTTTCCATTTAATTCATTTCATTACACCTATTTGTACCCCTACTTTGAAATATTTTTATTTCTTTTATAAGGAATCTAGTAGGTAGTCTTGACTTTCATGCAGTCTAGCTGCTGAAACTGCTAAATCTTGATGTATGATCTTAGTTCTCTACATATTTTAGAGAATGGTTTTGTTATATTGCTCAAGATGACAGCCATATCCTGCAAGCTTTTTAAACCTAGTGGTCCTAATTTTCTCAGGGAATAGAGCTAGTAAAATTTATTTCCTTCTTATAGGTATGACAGCTATTTCATACTCCTCTTGTAAACATCCTGTTGGATTTCACTTTTCATATACAGTAATTGATTAGAGGACAGGGGACTTACAGTATTGCTGTAGTTTTTTTCCAGTTCAATTTCTGTTCAATTTCCAAGCTGAAAATTCCATTTTAATAGTATACTGTTTTGAAAAAGTCACTTGTAGTCAGTAAGCTGAACAAACAGAGGCCTTGTCTATACTAACTTTTTTCATCAGTCAAAACTTTTATATTAAAACTCTTGAAAATGCAGATTAGGAAGTATAGAAAGTGGTAGCATGATTGCAGTGAAAATACTGTGTAATTACAACTGAAAAGTAAGAGGATACAGTATTAAATAGTAATTTGAGGGTAATTTTGTTCTTAAATAACAGGGTTGGTTTCTATATTATTGTGCAATTGGTAATAATCAATAATATGCAATAATCAAGTAATTGTGCTTTATCAGTTACAACAATTATAGTAGTAATACTTTTTTTTTTTTGGCAGCTTGGAAGAGCAAATTCTTTGTTGAATCAAGTACAACAACCACACAAATATCTCATTGAAACTGTGCAACAGAGAGATTCTCAAATAAGTCGACAGAAAGAACACATTACACAACTTGAAAAAGATGTCAGGTAATTAAAATCACTGTATCTTTATTTTTAGAATGAAAGTAAAATCACTTATGTGTTTATCATTAGAAAACAATTATTTTGTTGGCCATGAAGTAGGAGATGTTGAAACTCCATCATTAACTAAATCTGATCTTTATGCTGTAACTCTAGCATCTGTGATTTCTCTCATACTATCAGGAAAAAGAGGCTTTAGGTATGGAAAAGCAGCAATGACAGTCAGGTTTACACTGAGTTTGAAGTTGACAAGAGGTCTCATGAAATAGAGGAAAGCTCAGAAGAGTAGGGGGAAAGAATGACACACCAGATGTACAAAAGTAAAAATAAAGAAATAAAGTCAGAGAAAAATAATAGACTAGTACACCAGCAAAGGGTATTTTGGGAATAACTCACGCAGACTTCCTCTAGTAGAGACTCTGATTGGATGCTATATATAGCATCAGAACTCTGGACACTCAGCATCTTCCTATCATTGTACAACTTCATAAACTGTTTAACATGTGGTTCCCAAGTAAACTGTTAAAATCTGCCCCTTGATTTTCAAGGAAGTCGATGGCTGCACTGCACTGCAGAAGAATTAGCATTTTAACTATTAGATGTTTATGTGGTATAGAATCATAGAAACATAGAATAGTTAGGGTTGGAAAGGACCTTAAGATCATCTACTTACAGCCCCCCTGCCATGGGCAGGGACACCTCCCATTAAACCATGTCACCCAAGGCTCTATCCAACCTGGCCTTGAACACCACCAGGGATGGAGCATTCACAACTTCCTTAGGCAACCCATTCCAGTGCCTCACCACCCTCACAGTAAAGAACTTCTTCCTTATCCAATCTAAACTTCCCCTGTTTAAGTTTCAACCCATTACCCCTTGTCCTGTCACTATAGTCCCTAGTGAAGAGTCCCTCTCCAGCATCCTTGGTATCTTGGTTTAGGACATGCATACAGTAAAAACTATGAAATATTAATGTGATTGTATTATGAAGCAATTACATGAAAAATACCGTTTTTTTTTTCCAAAAAATCCGCTGAAGCAATGACAATAGAAAAACTAGGACTCAGCTAAATACTTTGCATACTGTCTTACATATGTATCTATTCAGAGTGTTTTGATAGTTTGGGATAGTATTTGTTATCCCTTGAGGAATACCTGAAAACGCTTATCGTCCAAGTAAATCTATCCATAAATCAGTGCATTTATAAATAAACTGAAATATTCATTCATACTTCCTAACAAGATAGCTTTCACTAGGTTTAACTTTTATTCAGTAAGAATAGATCCTTTTTTATTCCAGAATCAAGTGGTTTTTAATATTTTCCTAGACTTGATATAAGAAAAGCTTCAATGGTAAATTATAGTTTTGCAGATGAAAAATCATAATGTTCTCTCTGTATATGCAGGATTTGACATTTCAGTTGTAAAGAAAAAATCATCAAAGAGCTGGTTGCTAGCAAATTAAATGTTCAGGTTATGGTAACATAAAAACATCTTCCATTATCCACATAGTGGCCCAAAAGTCTTCTCAAAAGCTAGAAAAAAAAAAGGAGTAAATAGGTGAGGTCATTTCTGCTTAAAATATATGCATTATTAGCATTGATTCCCTTGAGTTTTTATGGTTCATTACAAACAATCTGTATGCCCAGATAGTCTTCCTAAACTTAGCCTACAAATTAAGGCACCTAAATTAGGAACTTGGTTAGATCAGCTTTCCTTAATAGTGCATGGAGGAAGTGGCATCTCTAAAAAGCAGTTCAGATTTTGGATGGAGTGAGTCATTTGCTAGAGATGCCTGTTACTCTCCATTAACTATAAAGGGAATTTTTGGCATCTTAACGTGCCTGAGGTTAAGGAAGAAAATGGATCTGCACCACAGTGAGAGCATTCGTGGTAAACATACTAGCAGTACTCTACTGTGGTGAGCTGGCGTGTGCTCACCACCAGTCCATGTTTCTGTAAATGAAAGTGTGGTCTGGCAAAAAAATATTTTTATCCTTAATGGTTTTGTGGCAAAAAAAGTAACATTTACTTTGCACATCAAATGTTTTGGTAAGTTTTTTCCTGTAGTTTCCAGTATTTCTTGAAAACTAAAAATAGCTATTATTTCCTTATCACAAGTTTGCCTCAACTTTGCTGTAGTTTCATGGGCCAATGAAATTCTTGGAAACAGCCTGATATCTCAGGACTTTTGGTACAGACAGGTAGTCCCTAATTTTTCTATTCAGAACTCCAGATTTAAAACAAATGTCCTAAATTGTTAATTTATATTCCCTCGAGAACAGAAGAAATTGTAATCTGGTATAAAATTGATAATGTTGGTCCTTTGCTTTCCTTAAGTGAGAGGAAGGTTAGAGGAAGGGATTTCTAAATAGAGAACCATTACATTCCAGCACACTTTTGTCATGAGGAATCTGCTGATGAGAGTTTTAAGTTAAAATATCCCTTAGGTGATTTCAGATTACTTTGTGGACCAGTCTAGCTCCCAGCTATTCCAGAACTGAGTCAGAATGCTATTTCAGTAAATTAATGATAATCTTTACCAAATACATGCCAAGTGAAGCTCTGCTGGATCAAAATATTTAGCCCACTATTCCTATCCATTTTAGTTTATTAAACAGAACTTTGTTGGTTTGTGTGTCAAATATTTTTGAGAGGATGATGTCAGAGAATTAATGCTCTTCGAGGAGGGCCCTCAATTCTGCTGATAATGTTGGTGCTATAGAAAAGTAACAGTGAAAACACTAAACATGGTTTATGAAGCCGGGTTTATCTCAGAACTAAGGAAAAAAGTTAGTATTTGTAAAGCCATTTTAATGAGAAATGTTTTTTCAGGCATTACCTATAATTAATAGTTAATACCACAGTTCTAATTTATACTACAGTTACAGAAAGCACATTATTTTTTTTTTACATACAATACCTTAAATTTATTTCTATAAAGCAATTTCACAAGTAGCAGCTAACAGAAGAATAATGTTCAACTTCTTGTTTTGAGGCACACCTTTAAAATACTAGTAAATTTTTAATTCATTATTTTTTAAATTTTATATTTGAGTACCAGATTGTAGAAAAATTAAGGTAATGTTGATATGCCTCCACCCTGACAATCAGGACTGAATACTTAGTTTTACCTTCATGGCTGCCCAGTGTTTGATCATGCTTTTTCTGCCTTTGTATTTGGTGTGCAGAATCTATGGTAGAGGAATGTTCTTTTCGTGTTGTGTTTTTATCTCATCTGCTTATCTGGAGAGGCGGTTCTGCATTATGCAAGTCATGGATTCCCTAACTGGAGCAGTCACATCTGTATTATCAGTGCCAGTGTTCTTTATCATCTCCTACTTCATTTGAGTGTGGAGGGATCAGCAGGGACTAATTTCCAAGTGAATTTAATTTTTTAAACTTAATCCCCAATGGGCTTCAGTGTGCAGGTCAATGATCTTTTTAGAATGTACTCCTCCTAGTGTGGTTAGATTCCAGCAGATTTCTCAGAATGATGAGTCAGCACTTTGTTGCAATCTTGCAAATGCTTTGCAGCAACCTGCAGCGCTTTGTATTTCCTTGTCTATTGAGAAAGCTGTTGGTTGCTGCTGGATGTGGTTTTGATTTTGTCATGAAATACACAGTCTTGATGAAATCGGCATCAAGAGGAAGGCAACTATAAGGATGGCTATCTGTGACAGCAATCTCCTTGTGAAACTTCTTGTGCCATATTTTTACTGATTTTTCACAAAATGGCCTAAAGCAACTTAATAATGTGGTCCCTTCAGGGGCAACAGATGTATTCAGGGTTACCCACACTGCATCATTCTGTGAAAGTGGCATTTCTGACAGCAGTTATTTCCGTAGAAGGAGTTGGACAGATTTAGGCAGATCATTTTGATATAATACTTTTGAGAAGTCCTGTAGATTCGTAGAATCATAAAATTATTTGGGTTGGAAGGGACCTTAAGATCATCAAGTTCCAACCCTCCTGCCATGGGCAGGGACACCTCCCACTAAACCATGTCACCCAAGGCTCTGTCCAACCTGGCCTTGAACACTGCCAGGGATGGAGCATTCACAACTTCCTTAGGCAACCCATTCCAGTGCCTCACCACCCTCACAGTAAAGAACTTCCTTATATCGAACCTAGACCTTGTTTAGAGACAAGGATGTCATGCCAGGCAGCATCAAAAGCTTTGCGCAAGTCCAGGTAGATGATGTCAACTGCTCTGCCTTTATCCAGCACCTCCGTAGCCCCATCATAGAAGGCCACCAAATTGGTCAGGCAGGATTTCCCCTTAGTGAAGCCATGCTGGCTGTCACCAAGCACCTTGTTGATTTTCATGTGCCTTAGCATGCCTTCCAGGAGAATCTGCTCCAAGATTTTGCCAGGCACAGAGGTGAGACTGACTGGTCTGTAATTCCCCAGGTCATCCATTTTCCCCTTCTTGAAAATGGGGGTTATATTTCCCTTTTTCCAGTCATTGGGAACTTCACCTGACTGCCGTGATTTTTCAAATATGATGGCCAGTGGCTTAGCAGCTTCATTTGCCAGCTCCTTCAGGACCCACAGATGGATTCCATCAGGTCCCATGGACTTGTGCGCATTCATGTTCCTAAGATGATCTCAAACCTGATCCTCTCCTACAGTGGGCCTAGGGTCTTCTTCATTCTCACAATCCCTGTGTCTGCCTTCCAAGACTTGGGTGGTGTGGTCAGAACCTTTGCCAGTGAAGACTGAGGCAAAGAAGTCATTGAGAATCTCAGCCTTCTCAAAATCCAGGGTAGCCAGTTCTTCCGTTAGCTTCCAGAGAGAGACCACATTATCCCTAATCTGCCTTTTGTTTGCGACATACCTATAGAAGCCCTTCCTGTTGTCTTTGACATCCCTGGCAAGACTCAGTTCTAACTGGGCCTTAGCTTTCCTGACCTGATCTCTGGCTTCCCAAACAATGTCCCTGTATTCCTTCCATCATGGCTTTCAAAGTTCACTGTAACCAGAGAGCTTTACATGCCTTCAT